TTTCTTGTCATCTAGGATTTTATCTTCTTATTCTTTTTCTCTTTGTCTACTTCGCTATTCTTTATGCAAAACCACATATCATTCCTCCATATGCATCTTTAGATGAAAAACAAGATGCAGTTGCCAGAGCAAATGAAGCCTTCCTCAACAATTGGCATTGTTATGACGTAAACTATCCTATTCGATATTGTTATGTTTGCAAATGTTTTATCCCTCAACGTTGCTTCCATTGTTCTCAGTGTGGTTATTGTATCGAATTAAAAGACCACCATTGTGATTACTTTGGTTTTTGTATTGGTCGTCACAACTTACTTCTATTTTACTTCTTCTTTCTTACCTTAATAACACTTTGTCTTTACGGCTTTGTGTGTTTCTTCCACCTTTGTTATATTGTTGGTTTCGACACATTTACTCCTCTCCGTATTTTCAAACTCATTGGTCTCCTCCACATCCTTGCTTGTTTGTTTTTGGGATTAGTTCTCTCTTTCTACTTCCTCCACAACTCTCTCTCCTTATTAATCCATCGCAAAACACAATTCGAGTTGTTGCTTGAACATCGCATCTCCCTTAAACTCCATTCAGTTTGTTTTCTTTCTTATAATTCTTCTTCTTGAATTCTTTTTACATTTTAGCCATTCTCCTTCCCTTCTTTATCACTCTCTAATATCTTTTCCCTTCTTTTCTTTTCTCCTTGATCTTTTCAATTAATGCCAATTAATTTCTTATTATAGAACATTGTTGTTTTTATCTAACAGTCATGAAAGAAAATTTAATCAAAAATAGAAAGGGTGAAAACACACTTTTAAGAGAAATTTGTTTTATTAATTAAATAAAATTGTTTCTAATAAAACTCTTTTTTATCTTTTTTATAAAACAGTTGAACTGAATTAAAGTTGGTTCATATCATGTCCCGTTTGGAATGTATCTATCTAATGAATATTGGGTTATGCTTGAGCTCGCCTAAAGATGTGCTATTGTTTATTCAAATAAATAAGACATGTTTTAGGGCCATTCAGTCGTTAAAAAGAATCCTATACTATTTTTTAATACTCAAAACAAGACTATAGAGAGAAAGCGTTAGTTACAACAAAGACAATTCGAATTTATCTAATATTGAAACTCTTGGAATAGAACTTCAACCCTTAGATTTTGTTCAAAAGAAATTTTTCGTATAAAAAATTATCAAATATTTGCTAAAGGAGTTCTTGAAGAAATTGATTTTATAAATTTAGAGAAGATTCAATCAAGAATTGTTTGGTATAAAGGTAATAGCGAAGGAATCAATAATAAAATGAATAATCTAAGATCTATGATTCTTACTGATTGCACCCACTTGAAAAGAATCCTTTGTAGTGTTCAGTTTCTTAGAAAATTAGAAAAGGTACAAATTCGATGTGAGAGGAGGGAGGCTTGTGAGGTAATTTCTATGGTTGAAAACTTATATCAAGATGTAATGGTAATTGTTAAACATGCAAGTAAAGATTTAAGAGGAAGGGTAAGTATTTGTGGTTGTGGTGTTCTTGGTAATGGAAAAGATCTAATAAATTTATTAGATGAGTCTCATTACTACCAATTTAATGAAAAGGCATTAAAACCAAAGAATATAAAAATTATCCAATCACTATATCTTCCTCTTAATTTATCTTTTCATGGAACCCATGAGTTAAATGAAGAGATTAATGCAGACCTCACAATTCTTACTAGTTTGACTCGACTTCAACTATTCTATATTCAAGGAATTATTAATCTACCAAAGACCTTACAAATTTTTATTGTTAAGTCAAGTAATATTCAAATTAGTAATATCCAATCTTGCAATCTTAAGAGTCTTGTAATTGAAAGATCAACTTGTCCATTCCCATTTTCTCTTCCATCAAGTATCACATCTTTACATCTTAGTGATATACAAATTCAAACTATTTCAAACTTTGATGAATTAACACTT